TAACATTTTAGTTAAAAAGTATTTGATATTTGTTGGAGCAAAAGTTATTCGGGATTTTAATTTAAAATTCAATTTTACTCTTTTTTCTTTCTTTTTTTTTTGTTTCTTTCTAGGCTAATTTTTGTTCTTTCTCAGAACGTAGAGAGAGAGAGAGAGAGAGAGAGAGAAAAAAAAAGAAGCATTTGTTCGAAAAAAAATGTTTGACCAGTGTTGTAATAGAAATTTTAATTATTTGTTCGGGAAAAAAATGTCGAATATTTTCATATATACGCGTTCGGTATTTGCGTTGCAAAAAAAAAAAGAGAAAAGAAAAAGAATCTTTATTCGCATTCTTTTTTATAAATAATATAATAACAGCACGTAAATTGAAAAAAGCGCAGACGGGTGGTGGTGTGGTATCGCGTGAACACAAATTCTTTGCCTTTCTAACGTGAAAAACGTCTGATCTTTCTCTCTTTCTCTTTCTCTCTTGACGTGTAAATGTTGCGGATTCCGAAGATCCGACTACCGTCGGATTCAACATGCACATAAATAAATAAATAAAAATATGTGTTATATTCCTTCCTTGTTTGTACAAGACTTTCTATAAGAGCGAGCGTTTAAGAAAGGTATTATAATATATATATATACCGATGCTCTTACTTTCTTAAATGAAATCTGTAAATCTTCATCGGAAAACTGATTAACAAGTTTCGGTATTTAATTACACGCATACTTATAATATAATTTCATCTAATAAATATTATATTATTTTCTATTCTTTTCTTTTCTTTTCTTTATTCCTCGGCCGAGAGTTCCGGAAAATTAATTTTTTACAGATCAACGAGTTTTGCATAAAATTGAAAATGATTTTAAATAAGAAAGAGAAATTAGGGTTTTAAATAATATTCATTTCGAATTGTACGGCAACGGTAACGGTTGATGTTTATTGATAGATTTCGAAGAAAGCAGACGTCTCTCTCTCTCTCTCTCTTTCTCTCTCTCGTTTAAAAGAAGAAAGAGAGAGAAAAAAAGAAGAAGAAGAAGAAGAAGAAAAAAGAAATTAATTATCATCCCTCGGTCGCATCGTCATCCGAGGTTTACTTTACGTTTAACTATTAATAACGAAAACAAAGAACGGTGGTTTGGTTCTTGAAACTCGTCCAAAAAGTTGCTACACAGTAATTATACCAAGACGTTTCCTCTGTTCCTTTCTTGGCATTCGATGGAATAATGTTTTGTAGGAAGTAGGAAGACTTTGACCGAAACTTAAATGTCTCGCTTAAGAGAAATTATAAATTTAATGTGTTATTCGAAAAGATATATGATTGAAAATAAATTACAAATGTAAACTATTACAATTTAACTTGAATTTATTTGTTAAAATCATTGTCCATATTAACAAAAAAAAAGACAACCGATCCATAAAATAGTCGTTAACAATTCGATGATTTGAATTCTTATAGAACGAGAAGATACTCGCGCCAAAATTATGCCACGAGTTCAAATTCTATCTCTCACAAGCGTTCTATTCAAAAGATAAGCAAAAAAATTATAATTTTCACGAATACAATATTAGAATAGAAAATAAGGACGGGTTAAGAAATTGCAAAAAAAAACAAAAAGAAAAGAAAAAGAAAAATTGTATCGTTGGTGAAAAAGAGGGGGTAAGGAAAGGCGTGACGTTAGTTACGGAACGGTGGTATTTGAATTAGGCGGGAAAGTAAAATTGAAAGTGGACAGGGATGTAGTCATTATTAATGCGGGCCTAGGTCACGGGCGGCGGTCCGGTGGTGGATGGTTGTTCGGTGTCGGCTAGTTAGTTCGCGAGCGCGGCCAGTGGCCGCGCTCGTGCTCGCTATAAATAATCATGGCGCGGTGATGTCCAAGTATAGACTGTTGGTAATGTGCCAGCCTGCAGAGAGGCTTCGAGCTATTTTTGATACTGTCGCCGCTAGTACTGCTACAAAACGACGAGAGCTCTCATCTAATCAAAACCGCGGCCCACAACCGGTGGAAACCCCCCAAATAAATAGAAAGATATATACAATGACAAATAATACAAAAGTATAATCTAAGCTCAGGATCGTATTCATGGGCGTCCAACAAATAACTGTCGTCGTCGCACAATGTCTCGTTAAAACCTACAAAATTCAAATTAATTATTTTCTTTTTTCTTTCATTATCATATTAATTCATATTTATTAACATAAGTATTGTTCGTATTTGATTTGATTATGTTAATCGATCTCAAAAAATGATATATTTTGATATATTTAAAATAATTATAAATTGTATTAACCCTTCGTTTTTCGTACAGGGTCCTTTGATATATAGAAACAGGCCTGAATCTAAGTTCACTAGTTTTTTCCCCACTTCTTTTTTTTTCCCCCAATCATAATCAACACCACCAACCATGTGACGACGCTCACCCTTATTCGTTCTTCCTTTCTTTTTATTTTTTATCTTCTCTTCTCTTCTCTTCTTTTCTCTTTCGTTGAATCGTGTATTTGTGAGCTGACCTTGAAGAAGCATCGATTTATCAGGCCGATTATGTCAAAGCGAGGCTACGACGACAGCTATAGCTTCGACGAAGGAGAAACGACGCGCCGACGACCGCTCCTGGTTAATCTAAATTTCGCTCTCTTTCCACGATTCAGGGTCGGTCTCGACAAAATAATAAAAAAAAAAATTTAATGGCGCGCTTCTAACAGAATTTTGAATGCGGAAACAAAAGAACTAGTTTTTCTAACAATTAAATATGATATAACACTTTACCGTAATACTCCAATTTTTTACTCAAATATTTTACAAATTAATAATATCCAATTGTATTTTTAGCTTTCTAATAAAATGTCACACTTTTTATATGTAAAATATGTTGTGCCAAGTATACAAAAAAAAAAGAAAATGTAAATTCCTTTTTAAAAAGAGAAACGTAATTTGTCTTGCCTTGACCTTGATAATTTTTACTGATTGCGAATAAAAAAGAATAGACGCACCGTTATATTTCTCTCTTGAAATCAAATAACTCGTGTATGATAATAATCGATAGGAAGTTAATTTTAATTATTCGTGAGATATCATTCATTGACCGGATGTGTTATATAATTACTTTCACATGATTATATTCTTTCTCTGTATGATAAATTATTTATTATTTCAAAAGATATATATATATAATTACTCTTGGAACGAAAATTATTCGAAAGATTCGAAGTATTTCCGCGGTAAGGTGATTTGAAATTCCCGCCAATGAATATCAACGATAAAATAGTGTCGATACCTGCGCAATGGGGTAATGCGCAGAAACTTTCTCCATGAACCGAGCGCGTCCACTATAGTCCATTTGTCTTAACTCATCTGCCATCAACCATTTTATAATATCGACCATTGTATTATTCATTGGTTATCAAAATTATTTCGTTAAATAGATCAAATCGAATTTGATATATAGTCAAATAAATCCATATAATTGAAATAAAATTTAAATTTAGTAAGATATCGAATATAATAGTATCGAGAATAAAATAAGAAAAAAGTTATGATCATTTTCGTTGTATTCTCGTTGAATGGTTAGAGTATAGGTTGTTAGCATAAATAAAGTGTAAGCGTCAAAGGGCGCTGCCGCAAGCATCATCCACAAACGTTGGACTATACTGGTCAGTGAAGTTGTACGTTTATCGTGACTATAGTGGGCGAGGTTTTTTTTTTCCCTCACGAGTAAATTCACATCGTGATATCATAGCGGAAAATACCAATTAGTATTCGGCCACGGATCGTAAGAAATTCAAACGATCGTAAGTTGCATATATACATATACACACATATATATATATATATATTTACTATCTATGCATATATGTTAGTTCCTTCCGCGATACTAAAACGTACAACACGTATCGTTCGGTTCTCCTATACCTACTGCCAAATTGGCAGCCAACTTGTCAATGAAAATCGATCCGGAATTATTTGGGTCAAAGGGCATCAGCCGTATTGGACATTTGCCGAATTTAAATTCTAATTGTCGATACATCGGACATTCGATCACGGACAACCTTACCGTTTAGTTTCTCGTTCGTTTGCAACCTCTACTGTCATCCCACATCTCTTATAAATATATTTATATTCATTTTACTTGTGTTCAAGGAAAATATTATCTTATTGATATTCTCCTGTATCTGACTCTAATATCTTGTTTTTTTTTTCTTCTATTATCATTTAATAAGTCAGTTATTGGAACGTGACTCATCTTAATTGATTGAAAAAAACAAAAAAACAAATTGTTTAATGGTTTATTATTCCTGTTTTTAAAAAAGTCATCGCTTTGAATGTATTGACAGTGATAGATAATTATTATTAGTTTTCACAACCGCGATAAGATAAACATGTCACGAAAATATTCAGTAGTCGACCAACGACCATGGGATCATTTACAGACTTCTGCGTCAACCAAAACAACCACCATGACAACAGCCGCTAAGCTATATGGCAAGGATTTAAGCGAATATGAAGATGTCGATGTCGATGAATTGCTGGCGCAGTTAACACCTGAAGAAATTAATATACTTGCCAAGGAAGTCGATCCAGATGTAAGATCTAAAGATTTCTTATGGTGTTAAACAATATTAATCATTTCTTTTGCATGCGTTATTATATCAGTTCTTTTTTTTATTATTAAATTGTAATCTTACACTCTCTGCACATGCGTCTGTCTACGCATGGATATGCAATTTAAGACTATTAATAAATGTATATTATTTTTTAGGACAGTTTTATGCCTCCATCACAGCGTTGCAGCTATGAGTGCGACAAGAGCCCGACGGGTCCTCTTAACCGAAAGAAACTCATCGAACACATTAACAAACAAGCTTTGGAAACACCGGATAGACCAGAATTAAAACCCTATGTACCTGGAGTTATTAGAGGAAAAAAAGTAAGATTTACAATAATTATATATATCATAAAACTACGGATTGTATATACAAAATCTACATAAAAATTTGTATTATCGCAGTGGATCCCACCTGCTCAGGACAGCGCGAAAGAAAAAGAAGTGGATGAGCAAATTGCGATAGATCTTGGCGAAGAATACGAACAAGCATTGTCAAATGCGTCTCAAGAAGAAATTATTGATCTTGCAGGTAAATACAATATAACAGCGTATACAATTAAATTTATCAAATATATAAAATGTTTTTATAAAATTGATGTGCATTTATGCAGCCATTCTTGGGTTCCACTCTATGATGAACCAGGATCAATATCACGCATCTTTATTAAATTCTGGACAGCCTGTTGGATTGGGATGGGATGGAGTGACAAAAGCTAGTCAACCAAAACCTTACCCAATGGAACCGCCTAATGATACGGACGTTGATGCAACTATCAAACAAGTTAGAGATGACGATCCTAAGCTAACCGAATTAAACTGGAATAATATTAAAGTTAGTATTTGAAATACGAACGATATTCGATTATTTATTTCATTAATATTACGTTAATATCGAATTTATGTTCGTCTTATACGTGTTACAGAATATCTCGGACGAGAAATTTATCCAGTTGTTCGAAGGATTAGAAGGAAATACCCATCTCGAGTCTTTGAGTTTAACAAATGTTGGACTTAACGACAAAACGGCCCAAAGGTTGGCAGATGCCATGGAGAAAAACTCTACGCTTAGAGTATTAAAGTTAGTGCTATGCCTGAATTAAATAAATATTAGTCGTAATGATATATTTCAAAATCATTCATAATTTGTTTGTTTACATGTTTTAGCGTGGAGACAAATTTCATAAGCCCACTTGTGATAGTTAGGCTCATTAGAGCCCTTTTAAAAACCAAATCGATCGAAGAATTTCGATGTTCTAATCAGGTAAGATTAGAATATAGATATATATATATAATTGTATATAATAAATTATAAAAATGTTCGAAATATATCATAAATTTCATCATCTAATTTATTGTATTTTCATTTTCTTAGAGATCACAAGTTTTGGGTAACAAAATTGAAATGGAAATCACACAATTGGTCGAACAAAATCCAACGTTATTACGACTCGGACTTCATTTCGAGTTCAACGATGCCAGACATCGCGTGGCTGCACATTTACAACGTAACATCGATAGGAGTAAGTAAATTAATATCGCACAAATTATATTTCAAATAATTACTATTTGTTAATTTTAATGAAATTCTCGTATCGACGATCAAACACCAACGTGTCTGACAAATTTTTCTACCATCAATTGCAGGATAATCGTATCATTTTTCTAGCATTATTATACTTCGAAAGTATTATTTTTCTAGATTATTATATCATTTTAATTGTATTCATTTTATATATAATATCAAATGTGTTGCGGAGTGCAGTCATTATATAAATTAATTAATTAATTACAAATTAGATATATATATATATATATATATCAGAACAAAAGTTTTTGATTGCAACGTTATACAAAATGAGTTATTGATGTTTTCGTTTAGATGGGAGCAATTGTATGAGGAACAATGGAGACTATATGACGAAATGCTTCTAAGCCTTTTTAATCTGCTTCATAGTCTCACGTAGCGCTTTATTAGCAAATCACTATTCATCCAATCATCCCGCTATATTATCATTCATTATTTTTCTAGTTAGTGGCATTGAGGTAATTATGATACCCCCAGAGTGTACCCTCTACCCTCATCAAATCGTGTTCAAACAAAACCTACTACCATTTCTTACCAAAGATATTGTACCTAGATTTATATTTTTGTTTTTTCTTTTCTACTCAGAACCAAAAAAAATAAAAACAAATAATCAATCTTAAACAATTCTGTTTAACTTTTAGCAAAGAACCGAAGATTAGCGTGTACTGATTATACACTATTTGGTATGGATTATTATATTACGTTATTGTGGTTTCTTGTGTTTTGGCCTTAGTAGAGAGATGATTATACAAAAATGCAAATAATTTTAATTTATACGCCTCTCACACTCAATACACAGAGTGAGGTTGACTAACTATTGTATATTCTCGTTGCTTATGTTTTCAATTATTATACATATAGGAAAAAAAAAAAAAAAAAGATATATAAAATTCGTTACACTTATACATACTTGAACAACAATCTCAATGAAAATTCATAATAATTTGTTACTTCAATATTCTAGGTCAAAATCTTAAAACCATATTTTCTTTCATCCTTTTTCGCATGTCGGTCACACGTATTATCATTATCATCCGTTCGAATCAAACAGTTGCACCGCTTTTATTTAAAATATATTATTTTTTTGTTTTTATATATATTTTTATTATTTTATTTGACAAATTCATATCATCATCATCATTCATCTCGCTTAATCATAAAATCATTTCACAGGGAAACAATCGAAAATTAATCCGCGAACGGTGGATGAAATATATACATATATATATTTATATCATAGTTATCAATATATTTGGGTAAAATTCATTTACGTCGCGTGTGTTAGGGATGGTATCATCCCATTGAATTGAAAATTCGAAAAAAAAGTCCGTTTTCTCTCAACAACAACAACAAAAAAATAAAAAAAAAGACAAAATGACAAGTTTCACACACAACATCCTCGCTTATATTTAATAAAAATATATTTGTCATGCCAGTCTGTCGTGTGGAACCTATGGAACGCGCAAAGGTCGTAGCAATCGGTGTGGGTCGTGACACGTTCACCGTTCTTCATTTAGATGATCGAAAAAATCGAGCCTAGCGCGCTGAACACGGCGCAGTGAGTAAAGAAAAATTACAATTCAAAACGAAAAAAAAAAAAAAATCTTCTTTGTTTTTTTTTTATTTTTTATTATTTTTTTTTTCCTCCACTCCCTTCGTTTTTATTTGACTCCGTCCCCCCCCCCCCAGTCCACCCTTGTCGATATTTTGTTTATGTATTTTAATATCCCGGATTGCATCGAATTTTTATGGGGGGGTGGGGAGAAAAAAATCAAATTTAAACGCAAGATTTTAATTATTCCCGAATGCTGCGAATTAATGCATATCTTCGATTTTTTTATAATGAACAATTAATTGTGTAAGATTTTTTCTTTTTTTTTTTTTTTTTTTTTTTTTTTTCTTTTTTAGAGAGATTTATCGAAAATAGTAGAAAAAATAAAAAATAATATTTCCTTGAGTTTTATATTATTTTTGTATATTTGTTCCTCTCTTGCAAGTTTGTTATTATTTCCGTATGCACTTTTATATGCATCTTGAGAGTAAAGTGTTCATATTTTTTTTTTGGTTGTATTTAAAATGTTATTGTTATTGTTCAAATCGATATAATTATATTATATTACATTTGTCGAGATTGTTCTTCCAATTAGGAAACAATTGTTCTTAACTAAAACACACGTGGCGGCAAACTAACAAAATCCATTTTTCACGCATCACCTCCATATCTCGCATGATCGATCACCACCATTATTCTCTTTTACACTTTTATCAAACTTTGATTTATTTTTTAATTTATTATATTTAGTTGCTCGCACTAAATTACAGTTTCTCTATTATCTTCTATGCTATTGACGGAAACGCACAAATTAAATAATCGACTGCACGCTAAGACTTTATCGAATTAGGATAAACTTCAAGGATTTCTTTTTTTTTTCTTTTTTTTTCTTTTTCAATAATAATAAATTACGTTGATAATTCGATCCTTTTCTCCAGGTACATGGAAAACGTGTGTCTCTTATATAATTAATATTTTTCAGGAATATATACAGGTGTTTATATTCTGAAGAGAATATTTTTTTTTTTTTTTTTTTTTTTTTCAAAGTACACCGAAATACATATTACAACAACGTATATCTATATAATCTTTTTTATCTTCTAAAGTTTTAAACAAAAATAAAACACGAGAATATTTAATTACAATCAAAAAAAGAGATTCGATTTAAAAATGAGAGAATAACTTTAGGAAAGGCATAATTCGTGACACATTTGTATAATTAATTAATAACGATTAATTAATTATATTAATCATTTGAAAATTATTCATATTCTCCTTTAACTCTTGACAATAAAAAAAAAAAAAAGTAAATGTATATATACATATATACGAAATTAGGTGAATCAAACGTAATACACAAAAACACATAATAAAAATAAATGACTTGTACATACATATATATATGCCGATGCCACCCACACATCAAGCAGCAGTCACACACGCATACCTACCTACCTACATACATACATACATACATACATACATGATACAATTTCCATTATAGAGAAGACATTAAAAAAAAAAAAAAAAAAAACAATTGATACAATGTTGTGAGTCGTTGAAAAAAAAACTGCGATAAATACTTACGACATTTATTATTCTTTCCCAACAGTACGGAAAGACCTAACGCTGCGGCTACAGTTCAGATTCTTTAACATGAACCACAGGAAACCTGCCTTGATTCAATGAAAGGTAGCTGCCTACTGTTTGCTAGTTGAATCGGCAGAGTGGGCTGCGCCTATCTATAGATTTTCTTTTTTTTTTTTTTTCTATCTCTTTGTACAGGATAAACGGTATTGTTATAAACTAATTTGCATTTCAATCTCTTATATTAGTTTTTTATTAGAAATTTTATTAACGAAATTATTATCATGACATTTTTACGACTCTTATTGTTCATATGTGGGGAGGGAGGGTACGTGCTTTTTGCACGTATGTGTATCCTTAATTATATGTGAAAGAATTAAATTGTTATTATAATACAAAGTGGTTTATAAATCTGCCGTTTATCTTATTTATGCAATATAATAATAAATGCTGTTGATAGTTTTCGATAGCTTAATTAACAAAATGCTTTTGGTTTGTGAGTACGTAATATGTAATTTTTTTGAACATATACATATATAAAATATATTTGTATACAAAAAAAGAGAACAACAAAGTAATAAAAGAATTTGCGAGGAAGAAAAAAATAAGAAAAAAAAAAAACAGATTTAAAAAAAAATGGTCGACGTAGGTCTAACAATGTAAGTCGTTGAAATTTGTCGGGCAATTTGGAAACTCAAATCACCGGAAGTAACTCGTACCAACACCTTTTCCATCACCACTACTACCACCACCATCACCATCACCAATACTATTAACACTACTACCACTACTACAACTATTGCCACGCGAACTATAAACTTCGGACAAGTTTTTGATGTGTTACCTACATCCACAAGACACGTGGGAAAATGAAGACGTGACACGTTGTTAATTAACATGGAAATATTTTTCGCATGATGACGTCATTTCGTTAATTTGTCCAAGTGAAGCATTTCTAAGAAGAAAATTATAATTATACGGCTGTTGACCAATAATTAAACGTGGTGTTTTTTTTTTTTTTTTTCGTCAAACGATTTTCATCTCTCTTTTTTAAGCCCTCCCCCCTTGACACATACAAGTAAAATTGAATTAAATCCATACAAAAGATATTTTATTTAATTTGATTTTGCATCAATCGAACGGTTATGATGATGATGGTGCTGCTGTTGCAAGCTTAGAAACGGAATATTTTTATTTTGAAATTTTTCCCATTATTATATAACATTTAAAATCAGATTTGATATATATAACGTTAATTAACAATAATTAAATAAATGAATCAAATATTTATATAACGTTAATTAACAATAATTAAATAAATGTATCAAATATTTATATTTATAAATATATATTTATAAAATATATATTTATATTTTATATTTTTTATCTTGATATCTTTCAAACGTTATTCTACACGTCAAGGGGGAGGGGCGGTTAATTTAATTCGTATTTTTAAATATCCGTCAAATATTTTGTTTATTATAACAATATTATAACAAAATTGTAGCTTCAATTGAACTACTATTCTTTGATTGTATATATGTGTATTATAAAAAACAAAAAACCAGCTTGTTTACACGTGGCCTATCTGCATCGGGGATACTGAACGAGCCAATAACTTACACTTTTTTCACGCGGGGGAAGGGTTGTCGGTTTTTTATTTATTTATTTTTTTTGTAATACTTGTCTATAATGTATACACTCGACCAATCAAATATATTCCCAATTTAAACAATTTCTTTCCCCACCCACTCCCTTTTCCTATCTTTTAATATGCCCAATTTAACATACACATACACACACACACACTTATATATATTCCCAAGTTTACCTCAATAATTTACGTTAACATATTGACTCTCCATATAAGCCTGACTCGCGTTTTTACTTTTTCGAGACTCACCGATAATCTAATTGGTTGGTTGTTGTGTGTATTTGTTATTTTTTTTTTTTTTATATTCTACTAACAAAAATTGTGAAAATAAAGGGAGGAAAAAAAGCGAGAATACTTATAAAAACCATCTCGAAATTTTTCTTTCTATTCTTATTTTTTTCTTTTTTTTTTTCTTTTTTTTTTTTTTTTTTTTTTAATCGTACTATACGACAATATTCAACAAGCGGAACAGCCGATTATACAACGATTTTAGAATATAATTATTTCATATAAAAAGATAGAAAGTTATATTAAATATAATAGCATGTATATATCCGTTATAATGACATATCAAAAAATGTTAAAATGATCGAATTTATAGAAAAAAAAAAAAAGAGAGAAAGAAAGAAAGAAAAAAAGATTTCGAGGTATGGTCTGACTTTTTCTGCATTTCACGGCATGTCAACTAACAAACATTAGCAGAGTTTCCAAAACAATGGGAGTACATCGTGCTATCTAATTTCTACTCGTTACGAGAAAGACGAAATAAAATTTAAGAAAAAAAAAAATAAGAAGAAATCTTGTAAAAAAAAATAAAAAAGAAAAAATTAAAATACGTCTCGTCTCGAAATAAAATAAAATAAAAAAAAAAGGAAACAAAAAAGAAAAAAAACAGAAGGGTAGATATTAGTTGCCGATGTGTTTTGCATTATTTTCTGCATTAAAAAAAAAAAAAAACCAAAAAAACCAAAAAAAAAAAAGAAAAATATCTTTACCGAGATGCATCGCTTCGGTAAAGAATATTTTCTATCTTTGTTTATTTTTGACTTTTTTTTATCTTCTTCTTCTTCTAATATAATAAAAGCGTTGCTAAAAGGGCGCATTTGATGACAGTGTTTCGGGTGTCTGTTGCAGTACGGCAGTCCCGGCTCGGGGTGGCGACATCTTAACGCGAGTGGCGTTCGCCTAGGTATTATTTTGTAAATATATATATATAAATATAAATATAGATATAGATATATATATTTATTCATTACATATATATATACATATATACATATATATATATATATTATGTGTATAATTTTGTATTTAGATATCATTCGAAACAATTCCCATTCATTCCCGCCTTCTTTTTTTTTTTTCTGCTATCTTATTATTTTTTTTTTTTTTTTAAATATTTTTGTATTTATATATCATTCGAAACAATTCCCATTCATTCCCGTCTTCTTTTTTTTTTTTTTCTGCTATCTTATTATATTTTTTTTATTATATTCGCATCCAACATCTTGCATAAATATTTATTTCTAACACGCTTTGTTGTTTAACCCTTTTCGTTGCGATTCGATCAAAATGAATAGCGATCGCTAGTATAACGAAAGGGTTGTTAAGGGTTGCAGAAAAACAAACGAAAGTAAGCTACTACCCCCACTACTACTACTACTACTATTACTAATACTACTACGCTTTATTCGAATCGAATTTCTCCGTTGCCTTGCTTGCTTTCTCTTTCTTTCTCTTTCTCTCTCGAAGCTTGTTTTATTTTTAAAATTATTATATCTAAGAAAAAAGAAAAAGAAACTGAAAAAATGTCCGTCGAATTATTTACTGCACGAGCGCTTAACGCAAGGGATTGCGCGGAATAATTCGATATTATTTTTGGCGACGGTTCAACATTTCCCCCCCCACTTTTTATTTTATTTCTTTTTCATTTTTTTTTCTCTCTCTCTCTCTCTCTCTCTCTCTCTCTCTCTTTGACAAATAATTCTTCGGTTAAAAAAAAAACAAAATATACAGATTTATTTTTCGAGAGTTTCCTTTTTTTTTTTTCTTTTTTTTAAATATTTTAGTTGTTTTCTACGAAAATTCGCATAAATAGATTTCGCGTTTTTTTATTCTCATTCGTTATTCCGCCCCCCCTCCCATTATTTCTCGAATTAATCTTTTTCTTCGTTATTTTGATCTTTATATATATATTTTTTTTTGTGTGAATTTCTTCTATTACTCGGCAGAGTATATACGTTGTTGAAAAAAAAGAAAAAAAAAAGAAAAAAAAAAAAAAAAGGTAACTGAGTTTAAGCGAAAAAGTTCTCGTCCGGGAAGTACGCGAAAGAAATCCCGTTACTTTTATTGCACTTATGTTAGTTAGTTTTTTTTCGTTTTTTTTTATTTTTTTTCCTACGAACCATTCAAGACTCTCCTCTCTCTCTCTCTCTCTCTATATATATATATCTATACTAGCGATAACTTTGCTCTATTACCTTTTATCAACGATATTGCACGCGTCGTAGTGTATATCGAAGTCTATTACAAACTTGTCGCCGCTTTTTTTTTTTTGTTGAATGAATCCTAACCCAATAGAAAAACTTTTCTACGTTGACTCTAATGTGAGAGTAAGAAAATTTATTACAGTTTTCAAAATAAAAAAAAAAACAAAAAAAAATACGAAATTATATAGGATTTTCGAACAATCCGAGATAGACAGACAAGCAGACAGACAGACAGGTTGGCAGGCAACGTTGATTTGTTATTTTTTATTTTTTTTTTTCTAATTACAAAACAAAATCTCTGATACTTTTTCCAATCTCGTTCGTTATATTTCATTCATTTGTTTTATTCGTAATTTCAAGAAAGGATTCTCATGGTAACGCGAAAAATGAGCATAAACATTTTAGCAATCTACTTTACTCAGAGTAAACGAATAAAAATATAAATATAATAATAATGAATAAAATAATGATAATAAGTAAAAAAAAAAAAAAAAAAAAAAAAAAAAAAAAAAAAAAAAAAAGGAAAAAGATGGATTTTTAATTAATTACAAAAGAAAAAAAAAATTATTAATTAAATTTACGGCTTAAAAAAGAAAACAAGAAAAATCGTGTGTCTGTATGTCCCCTTCCCCCCTTACCCCTTATTGCGTACAGTTCGCGTTTCGTTGTATTCTTCCATCCTTACTCGCAACAAAATTTTCTGCTTCCACTTTTATATACGCCTTCTCTAACACGCAAATGTTTCCATCCATTTTTTCTTTCCCTTTTTTTTATGCTTGACTCATTAATTCGCTCTGATTCATAGCCTTGTGTGTGCATGTGTGTATATATATATATAAATACATATATATATTTATAATATATTACTGATTAGTCATTGACCGAAGACACGTTTCATTCATGCTTTCCTTTTTTATTTACACACGATTGGTGGCTTATATTTAGTGCATCTTTATCTATCTATCTATCTATCTATCTATCTATCTTTATCTAGTTAAAATAATTAATTTCTGTTTATTTTTTCTTTATTTTCTACTACAGATACATTTTTTTTTTCAACACACACTTTCACATGTATTTTTTTTAATCTCTTAATAATAATTATTATTATATATATATATATATGTGTGTATGTTTTTCTATGATAAACGAATAATAGAATATAATTGGAAGCTTCGTATTAATACTCTTTTTCATACTTCTTGTCATATTTAAATTTAAGTATGTATATCGTTGAATATATAAATTTTCGTTTGTACATTGATTATCATAGTATGTGGGTTGGTATATCGAATCATTGCATGGACACGACCCATATATGGGTCGACAATAACGAAAAGAATTCAATTTCGTGGCTTCCCTTATCTCTTCGTTTCTTTGTGCATATATATATATTATTATCTTATCGTTTAAATATTTTATTCGCAAACGTACAAGAAGGAAAAAGAAAAGAAAATAAATAAAAGCAAAAGAAGCAAGCAAGCAAGCAAGCAAGCACATAACGAACAATTTATAAAGGATTGTAATTGTAATTATAAAAACAAAACAAAACAAAAATGTACGCATCCTGATAAAATTATATCTGCAGGAAACCTGATGAGATAATACGTACGTATCAAAATGACAAACGCAAAGAGAAAATGAAAAACAATGGGAACGTATTAAAACTACTATTGTTCAGAATTTTTTTTTCTTGTTTTGTTTGTTTTTTTTTTTGTTTGAATCGCTTCGTCTCGCATGGCGAAAAAAATTATCTCATTTTCTTTTCTGTTTCTTTTTTTTTTTTTTTTTTTTTCTCTTTTTACGTACTTACACATATACTTATTTTCTCACTCATTCTATCTATCTATCTATTAGTACTATCTCTATTTCTTTATTTCTATCAAATTTCATATAATTTTCTATAGAATTGTGATGATAATAATAATAATAATAATAATAATATCCTTATCTTACAGCAACTCATTTTGAATGTTCCCCTAATTCGTTTAAGTTAATAAGTAGGCTATAGTCGAAGATGAAAAATCTTCGTTGATACGTTAATATCGAACACGTGTGTGCCTTAATCAGTAGACTAAATAACTTACTATCGAAAGTAGCATGAATTAAAAAATGATTATTATCATAAATAAAAGTGTATGTATTATATATACGCGAGAGATGTTAAAAATAAAACAAGAACGATAAAATAATAATTCAGAGAATCTCGATAAGAAAATATTACCAAACGATCGATAATCGAAAAAACGTTTCTATGCACTTTTTCAATTATCTGAACGTTTATTTTTAACAACTCGCGTATGAAGAGAAAAAGAAAGAAAGAAAAAAAAAAGTAATATAGAAAAGATTCTCGATTACTTTTTTTTTTTTTTTTTTATGACGATGATCGAAAACGTGAAGAAGAGACCTTTCGAAATTTGTCAATTTCATATTTTTTTTACCTACGCGGTGGTGGAACTTTTTGGTAACGTCATTTTATTTTTCTGGGTTTTTTTTTCTTTTTTCTTTTTCACCCTTTTTTTTTTTCTTTTTCTTTTCGTAATATCGTCGTTAAGAATAGTCGTCAATTATCTTTGACATTTTATGTTTTTATTCACTCTCTTTCACTCACTCACTCTCTTTTATTCTTTCCTACTTTTTCATACGCGTTTTCCTCTCTCTCTCTCTCTCTCTCTCTCTCTCTCAATTTTAAATAGATCTGATACAAAACACAGGGGAAACGAATCGAGTCTGGTGCTGTCACCGCAATGCGGCATCATATACCCCGCTTATCAATACGTTTTCATTTTCAACGTCATTGAAAGGATTTTTACACGAGACAAATATATATTTCTAAACGAATATCTTTGTTCCCTTCTCTATGATTAAACGTGACCGTGTTTTTATTACTACTACTACTACTACTACTACTACTACTGCAACTACGTAAATCTACAGCTAGTTATAAACGAAAATTACAACAAAATAAAATAGAAAAAGAAAAAGAAAAAAACAAGAGACACAGAGAAAAACGAATATGGAACAATTAGATAAAAACAAAAAAAAAGAAAGAAAGAAAAGAAAAGAAAATAAAAAAGGAAAAATCAGTAGCGTATAATGAAAAGAATAGGAGAAGTAGAAAGCAGGTGGATGGCGAGGGGAAGAGGGGGGGGGAGGGTGAACTACTATCCTAACGTTAATGGAAATGAAAAGAGTATATTGAAAGAAAGGGAATGTAGACGAGAAGTATGGGGTGCCGGGTTGGGTGAGGGAGGGGGGGGGGGGGTGAGGTAAAGTATCCAGGAAAAGATATTAATTAAGAATATACGTAATGTGTTTGTTGTGTGTTATACTTTTTGATGTCATCGAACTTCACCTATAGGAAACTAATATACAAACGGCGATACGTCAGATTGTTATATATATATATAGTGAAATATAACAAACGAATGAAATAAAAAAAAAAAAGGGATGACGGGTGGTGGTTAAGGGGTGGATGGGGGAGAGAGAAAGAACGTACAACGAAGGGGGGAAGAGGGATGGTGGAGAGAAACAGAAAAGAACAAACAAACAAAACAGCAAAAATCGACAAGTAAAAAGAAGAATAATTGAGAGTGGAAGAATATAATAGGGTATGAGAGAGTAAGAGAGAGAGAGAGAGAGAGAGAGAATTGACTGATCCCGATCGAAATTCGAGGCAATTTATTCGGTAATTGAAGCT